GAAATAAATTTCAATTACAAAGTTGGAATTTACTACAGTATTTTTTATTGGAAGGGAGGGCATAGAACCCAAGACCTTAATATAAGTACCTCGCTAACACACTTCTAGCCCAACAATAACCTAGAAGTACACCATCGGATGGACTTTCAAAGTCTTTCCACTCAATTACTTGATTATTACACATCCTAGCGAGGATGTCCATTACTCTATTCCATTCTCAGCTCGTAGATTCGTAAAACATGACAAATAGTGAATTCCCAATCCTTCTTTATCTAGCTCTAACAAGCCTCAACAACATAACATGTAGGACCTCTTATGGTAGTTTGTCATTGAATCCATCTAACAATCTTTCATGAATCACTTTGAACAACAAGTCTCCGTATACGTTTTTCCAACCCTAGATTAAGCCTCTGAGATCAGCCCAAAATTCTGCTATACTCGGGTGCGTATAACTCAATGGTCGATGAAGATAATATTAATGGGGTGACCTCCAAGGGAAGTCTTCTCACCTACATAAAACAACACAGAGTATTAGTTTTCGAGATGGACAAAACATGAAAAAATAACATTTACAAAAAAATGCATTTCTAAAATCAATTTACTAAGCATCAAGTGAAATTGTTCTAGGAAGAGAGTTAAAAGGTGGTTGATAAATATATTGGGTCAAAGTGTAATCATTAATGTAATTAGCCAAATATATTTATCCAGTCATCCAACTTGATATTAGGGTTAGACCCAAAGGTAACCGAGAGTTGATTGGTGGGTTAAATTCGTCTGGACCGTGAGTTGGGCTTAATGGGTTGGAGCCGAATGTATCTAGAGTTAATTACTTGGGGAGAGGTTTACCTAAGTTTTCTAAGAGAAGTGTAAAAGATTTAAGAAGTCTAGATGCCTATAAATTAAATACTCTTAAGGAGTTTGAATAATGCAAGTTCTTTCATTCCAATTCTTGAGTTCAATATTCTTGTCTCTTATTATTTTCATAATTATCGAGAGATCTACGAGAACAATATTCAGTAGAATTAAATTCCATCCTATCATTGGTGCTTTCATTGAGAGACGAATGAGAATATTCAAACATGTTCTTGAGCATGGAATCAAGAAAGACATGAAACAGTACTAAGGTTCCCACTACGACATCTCAGTTTCGCCTCCATCTGTGTGGGGCAAGGAAAAGTAGTCCACCCAGATCTGATGGAGGTAACCATGAACAACATAACATTATTGTTAATCCACGTTCTAGACAAACTAGGTCGAATGCTTGGTTCATCAACCACCCCAATCCCAAACAATCTGTTGGTTGTTTAGAAGGAGTTGTGAACTCACGGGTCATCCCTAAATTGAGAGGAATTCAAGGCTAAACAAATTGCATATTTCCATAAGCATGATGATATCGAAGCAGAGAATGCATAGATTAGGAAGTACAAAATGATGAAGTTAAAGCGGACCATTTGGGGACCAAAACGTCTAGCCTGGGTCAACAAAGAGGTAAGGAGGTCTCGAGGACGATAAGGCATCCTGGAACCCCTTGGCTCTTAGCTAGATAACTAAGCAAGGAGGCATTCAGACCAGAAAGGATCCCAGAACCCTTTGACCCCTTTGTTAGTTTCACTAAGTAGGAAGGCAAAGAAGTCTTGGGATAAAAAAGGATCTTGGAACCCCTTGACCCTTTAGCTAGTTCAACTAAGCAAAGAGACATGGAGGCCTGTGGGACCAAAATGGTATCTGGAATCTCTTAACCCTTTAAGTATTTCACTAAGAAAGGAGACAAGGGGACCTTTAGAATTAGAAAGGATCCCAGAACCCCTTGACCCCTTTGCTAGTTACAATAAGCACGAAGGAAAAAAGGTCTCTAAAACTAAAAAGGAACTTAGAACCCCTTGACCCCTTATCTAGATTCACTAAGAAAGGAGGCCTTTGAGACCAAAAGCGATCTCGAAATCCCTGGACCCTTTTGCTAGTTTTGCTACGCAAGGAGGCCTCCGGGACAAGAAGAGATTTTCGGGACCCCTTGACCCCTTAGCTTGTTTTCACTAAATCTTTTGTTAAGCTAGATAAAAAAGATACGATAGAAAGAAAAGGAAATTTCCATTAATATATAAATTTACAAGTACAATGAGAAGTGAAACAAGGAAAAGAAGTATGGGCAATGGCTACATCTACATGTTTGATTAACACGTCCAAGGCAGTGTCAGGCCTCAATAACAACCAACTTTTGAGTTCTTCGAGAGAAGTAATTAACACAATCAGGAAATTCTCTTGATGTTGCGCAAGATAATGGATAGATGCGCCTGTCACCCAAGAAAAGGGCTACAACCGAGTGACAGGACGAGTAGCTTGGACCGCAACGTGCCACTGCTTCCCCCACGTTACAAGATGCATGTTGCATGTCGGGGCGTGGGTGTAGGGATGCATAAGGGGATATGAAATAGCGCAAATGAAGGCAGTCAGTCGAGGACATAGGCCAAAGACTTGTCCTTGTCCTCTGACATCGCAGTCATTCTGCACTAAAATACTTAGATGAGACTTTAATGTGCATCGTCCTCACCATGCTATGGAGCTGGAAGGGTAAGATGGGTCTTGTTGCGAGTTTATTCCATCTGTATATTTAGCCTAGAGAGGAAGATGGTTCCCACCAAAGAAAGAAAACAAGGAAAAATGAAGATGAATGTGGAAAAATTTTATCGCATAATGGGTGAAGAAGGGCGAGTCTCCTATTTATAGCCTAAGGTGGGGAAATGACTGTGAGGAAAATGTCTTGGAAAGGTACATGCATTTATTGTAGCGACAGCTTTATGGAGAGGACCAAAGGTCAAAAAGTAGGGCTAGCATTTGAAAAGATGCACATTAGGTTGCAAGAAACGGTGAAGAGAGATTTTTTTAAGAAGTTGGGTTATATGTGTTTAATTAATATGATAGTATGTTTGGGAACATGGATATGGATTTCAAATCCAGATTTGTCTTAAATTCCATGTTTGGAAAACTTAAACATTTTGAATTTGGGTTTGAATCAAATTTTTTACATTCAAAATAAAGCTTAATTTGAAATCCATGCATCTCCCTTTGTCATTTGAAATTCAGGATTTTAAATTTTGGAATTGAAATGCATGAATTGAAATGAAATGCTAGTTGCCAAACACTACCTGAAGTAATTGTAATTCCTTGATGGGCATGCCACACAATAAACTAAGGGGCTTGTAAACTGGTATATGGGACCAAGATATAATTATTTGTGTAATTAGCCAATATATTTATCGAGTCATTTTATTCGATATTAGGGCCCAGACAAAAATGCAACACGAAAGCTAGCTAATTGGTTGGTTAAAGACTTCCGGGTTGTGAGGTGGGCTTAATGGGCTGGAGCCATATGTATTGAGGATTAATTACTTGGTGAGAGGCTTATATAAGTTCCTAAGAGCAGTGTAATAGGATTAGGAAGCTTAGAGAGCTATAAATACCCTCTAAGGAGTTCGAATAATGCAAGTTCTTTCATTCAAATTTTTTATTTCAATATTCTTGTCTCTTATTATTTTTATAATTATTGAGAGATCTGCGAGGATGATATTTGGTGAAATTTGATTCTATCAGTGAGATTGATTGAAATCAATTTTCATATTAAAACTGTTTTTGTTTGGTATGTGTAAGTAAAGTTGGTTGTTGGAAAAAAACTGGAAGGACTTAGAGAAACAGGAAAAAGTTGGAAGAAATGAAGAGTTGAAAGAAACTAGAAGAAATTGAAAAAAACTTTAAAAATTTGGAAAAAAATTGGAAAAAAACTTTAATATGATCGTCCCAATTCAAATCATATTAGTAAAATTTGTGTAAATCACACTTCTTACATTTTTACTTTTTAAAATCAATATCAATCATATAATTTTTCCGTATAATTTTTCTGTTTCTTAATTATCATGCCCATAATTGAAAGAAAAAATAGAAATAAATAATCTAACTATATCTCAATCCAACAGCAACAATAATAATAATACTAACAATAAAAAACAACAATAATAGTATAAAATATTGATTTCAAAAAATGAAAAATGTACGTAAGTATTCTTTTTAAGCCATTGTTAAAAGAAACTTAAAGAAGTTGGAAGAAACTAGATATTTGAGAAAACTTAAAGAAGTTCAAAGAAAATAAAAGTTTAAAAAAATTGGAAGGAGTTAGAAAAAGATAGAAAGAGTTCAAATAACATATAGGAGTTCGAAAATGTAGAAGTTTAAGATTTATTCTGTATGTTCTATTTTAAATCACCTGATCCAATTTACGAAATTTGACTGAAATTATTTTCAATACAATTTATATGAAAAATTGAGTACTAAAAAATAAAATTTACGCATATAAACTCGACATATTTTTGCAAAACAATGGGTGAAATGACAATTTTATTTTACAGTAATTACATAATTAGTCTTTTATAACAAGAGATTTTATATATTTAGCGCTCTATTGGCAAATATTACACCCATGGTGTTTTTTTGGGTACATTTCCATAAATAGTTTTTTATCTTCTATCATGTTAGTATTAATTTGAAAACTAAAAATATAATTCCACAATTGTCAAATACTAATATATCTCTTGTCTGGTTGTCGTTCCTAATGCTTAGTTTGTGAATCACAGTCGTTAACTACTACAAGCATAGTCTATAGATATCGTCTCTGTTCAGAATCCTTAATCGACAATCATAGTCATTATTGTTGTGTTGTACGTCTAGCCAACATCAAAAAACGTCACTAGACATATGGTTAATGTCAAATCACACTTTTAGCCCTCAAACTATCACCACCGTGATAGAAAATAAAAAAAAGACTATTCGTAGAAAGGTTCCCATAAAAGAAGAATCATGGACATAATATATGATAATAAAAGACTAAATATAGAACCCACCCTCCCCCCATCCCCCTCTCAAATTATAAAAGACTAATTATGGGAAAATAAAGTGAATAAAATTTGATCATTTGAATAATAAACATGTAAACTAATTTAGGACAAAGGGAACAGGATCTAAAAAAACCAGAGCTTAACTTATACGGAGTATTTATCACTAAATTTTTAACGTCTTGTGTATGAATTCCCTTCTTTAGTGTACACCTGCTGGGTGCATATCAAGAATTCAGCAAGTCCTCCGCAGAAATGAGAAACGAAATGAACATGTTTTTAAGGAAAGGCTCTGCAAAAGACGTACAACGACGATTTAATAGGTCTTCACCACGTATATTGACTTGATGCAAGACTTCGTACTGCGGTGGCCGCTTAATAGAACGTTCATTCCTCCCCCAGTTCATCATGGTTAGTCTCATGCTCTCATTCATCTTGAGGAACAAGAATCAAATCTGAAATGAAATGTTAACAAAATTAATTCCATTGGGCACTTAGCTAACAACTTACTCAAGGGGAACAATGTAGATTGAGATTGCATTCAAATACAGTAAAACTCGCATAAATTTCCAGGATTGAAAAAAAATTGATATCTCACCATCCTGGCTTGCCCTGAATCCAAATCCACACTATTTTTTTATGCTGGTAGCATTAAGTGCGCTTATACTCCTATAGCCCACACCGAATTTCTAGCTTCCATCCTTTTTTGGCACAAGAAAAACTAATTGAGTATTTGAGTTTGTTTGGTTCTCACATTAACCTTGCTAATTTTTGAGAAGGAAGTAATATTGCTTTGTTTGGTTCATGTTTATTACCAATGTAATCTGTGATTACCTTCACACAGGAAAATGAGTTCATTTTGGGGCAATGTGATTTATTACCTTGGGGCTTGGGCTTTTTTGGTTTGTAAAATTAAATTGGTACCCTACCAATTTAACGGACATAAATAATACGGAATATCACATTACATGAACCACACAGCGTAAGCTAATATTGCATTCCTGTAATCTTACATTAGCCTCAAGGAGGTAGTCCTAACAACTAGGTAGTCTAGGCTTAGCAAACCAAACACTCAGACAAATCAAAAAGTGATGCATAGTTATCATGGCGTCCCGGCGCTGGGAGACACTCACCGGGAATGAAGTAGACAGCGATTTGATGTTCAGGTGATGCAAAACTCAGTTCTTTAGCGGCAGTTCTGAAGCAATAGGCGAGAGCAGAGATTCAATAACCCTATTATGGGATCATCGGGCAAGAGTGTAGGACACCCAGATCTACGTGTGATCCGACCTCCTGAAATATGCAGCGGGTGGGATCTGATCCAATCTTTTGAGAAGCAATAGAAAAGGTGTACCACTTCAGTGCCTCACGCTTCAGTCGTTTAATGACTTTAATCTCCTCTGTTTTTCCTGTTTTTTTATTTCTTCGTAACCTTGAGGATATGTGCCTAGTGCCCTAGATTCAGTTTAAATTTGACCAAGTAGTCCCTGTCTATACTCCTCAGAGCTGCACATTCTCTTTAGCCCAACCCCTAGGTTACTCCATCTTTTTCTTTACTCTTCAATTAAGGGCCTGTTCTTTAGGACTGGAAAAAAAGAGCTGGAAACTGGAAGTAACTGGAAGAAACTGGAAAAAACAGGAAGAAACTGGAAGGAACTGGAAGAACTGGAAGAAACTGGAAGGAACTGGAAGGAAATGGAAGAAACTTTGGAAAAAACTGGAAGAAACTGGAAAAATTGGAAAAAAAAATTAAAAGAATCTAAAAAAACTAGAATAAATTGTAAAATCTAAAAAAAGTTTTTAAAAAAATTTATGTGTGGTTTCAAATTATTCTCATTCTGATTCTTGTTGATTTAAATTATTATTGTTACTATTATTATTATTATTATCATCATCATCATCATCATTATTATTATTGTTATTGTTGTTGTTGTTGTTGGTGGTGGTGGTGATAGTAGTGGTGGTGTTATCACGTTATCTAAATGATTGTCTTTAAAATAAAAAAAATATTACGAATATTATTTCTCATACATAAAAAGATGATGTTATTTGATGAACAAACTAAAGATGCAATGAAACAATATAGAGATGAACTAGCACTTAATATCCTACAATGTACTCCCTCCGTCCCCCTAAGATGTTCTCATTTTGACTTTTGGTGGTTTTTAAGGAGAGTTAAAAAAAGGTGAAAGTTTACCATAATACCCTTAATGAAAATGGGTGGAGTGTATTAAATGAGGTGGGTGAGGTGTAATAAATAAAGTAAGTGGGGGTAGTTGTGGTATTTTAATTGTTAAAAAATGAAATGAGAAGATCTATTGTGGACTAAGAAAAAGAGCTATTGGGAAGATCTATGGGGGACGGAGGGAGTAGTTAAACTTAATTGAAGGTACTATATACGAACTATAGTTTTTACAATATGATTATGTTGAGAATGATTGGATTATTTATATATATATGCACACTATTTTACATTTTAGAGACACTAAAAAGTAAATCAAATAAATGAAACTATAACTTTTTTTTGTTAGTTGTATTTTAATTATTGGTGATGTTATTTGTTAGTTGAATTTCCATTTTACACTTCTTGGGTCTTTTTCTCTTTTTCAAAATGTAGTTTTCTCTTGGTTTTCATAATGTAGTACTCCCCACCACATTCCATATTTTATATTTTAGAATAAAATATTGATGTTTACCTTATATAAATTTAGATTAAAAAATATTCTATATAACTATTTAACAATAATTTTTTAAATAGTTTCCTAATTTTTCATGTAGACTAATATACAAAAAAATGGTTTTATTCATATTAAAAAGTTAAAGAAAAAAAATAATGAATGTAAATCATAAAAACAGTGAGATGAAAAAATGAAATAATTTATAAACTATAGTTATGAACATAAAAGTTGTAATTAAAAAAAATTGTAATAATAATAATAATATATTTTTTTAGAGTGATTTGTCAGAAAGTAGAAAGAATTTGAAGAAAATAAATAATTGGAAGAAATTAGAAGAAACTGGAAAAAACTGGAAGAAACTGGAAGGAACTGGAAGAAACTAGAAAAAACTGGAAGAACTGGAAGAAACTGGAAAAAACTGGAAAGAACTGGAAGGAACTGGAAAGAACTGGAAGTTAAGAGTTTAAGTCCTAAAGAACAGGCCTTAAGTAATTTAATAGGACTTTTAATAATTATTACTACAATTGGTTTTGTTAAAAAAGGGACTGAATCCAGCAGTAGAATTTGCAAGTATTAGGTGTGTTGAGCATGCAGCTTGTACATCACGAATAACAATATCTTATAGTAATCCCTATGTCCCGTAATAATGTTCCACTTTACAATTCACAGGTTAAACTATATTCACTTTCTTTATCTATTTTCATTGATCAACAATAAGAACAACCCTATTGGATCCCACAAGAGTAGGGTGTGGGTACACAGACCTTGCCCCTACTCGAAAGTAGAGAGGTTGTTTTCAAGACACAAATGGCTCAAGCTGCACAGATAAAAAGAATATGGGACATACATAAAGCAAAGAAAGCAAAGATAAAGCATGAAGCACCCAGAACCAAAGAACAAACTAATACAATAGAATAAATAATCTTGTCACCACTTGTTTTGTAGAGCTTTTGAAATAGTTTTTAAATAGAGTAAATTCTATAAATAGTCCCTTCTTATAATAGGTGGTTTTCTATATTTAGTCTCACATTCTTAGATATTACATTTGTGGTCCTCAACTTTTGAAAACTTTTCCATAATCAGTTCTTTGGGGACTATTTGTGGAAAAACATATTTGGTCATATTTGGCCCAATGTTCGAAATTGGGTATTGCGGTTTTGAGGCGTTTTCTTTTCATGGTGTATTGCATAAGCCTTGAGGCATTTTGGGGCATAAGCTTCAATTCTTAAATTGAAAAATATCCACAAAACATTTTAAAACTAAAGATAGAACAAAATGTATAACATAAATAATCCAGAAACATTAAAAAAGTATATTGTCAAAGTAATACATCAACTCTGACATGGAACTGCGGAAGAGTTTTGGTGTGATATGGCATATATTATTAGAAAGGTGGCAAAAGAAAGCCTTGGAGAAACTAAAGGTACTAATGCAAGAGACAGAATCATGCCGGTGGGACACTAGTGTGCAAGAGAAGGTAAAGGTAAAGCGGGAACGTTTCAAGGAGTGGTCTTCATATCGGAATGTGGAAAGTTGGGAAAGGTATAAGACAACTAAGACGGAGACAAAAGTGGCCGTAAGTGAAGCAAAAAATGAGAGCATATGAAGGATTTTACCAGTCTTTGGGTACGAAAGTAGGGGAAAGATGTATTTACAAGATCGCAAAGGGTCGAGAAAGAAGGATGCGAGATTTGGACCAAGTTAAGTGCATTAAAAATAAAAATGGTGAAGTTTTGGTTTTCGATGAACGCATAAACGACCCGTGGAACTTGGAAGAGCTACTTCAATGATCTGTTTCATGAAGAGCATGTGAATCTCTCATGCTCCGATCGGCTACACACGAGGGAGGACCAAAACTTCAATTATTATCGAAGAATTCGAGAAACTAAAGTTAAGGAAGCCCTAAAACAAATGAAGAATAGCAGAGCAGTGGGCCCATACAACATTCCGATTGAAGTTTGGAAAGGTTTAGGAGGAAAAGGTATTTGGTGGCTAACTAAGCTTTTTAACGAGATTTTAATATCTAAGAAGATGCCTAACGAATGGAGGAAGAGCATTTTGGTTCCTAACTTCCTATTTACAAGAATAAGGGAGATATTCAAAGCTTTGGAAACTACAGAGGGATCAAACTTATGAGTCATACGATGAAGTTATGGGAAAGAGCGGTTGAACGGAGGTTGAGACAAGAGACTTAGGTGTTAGAGAAACAATTTGGTTTTATGCCAAGAAGATCGACTACAGAGGCTATATACTTGGTGAGAAGAATGATGGAGAGGTACCGAAGTGAAAACAAAGATCTACACATGGCTTTTATTGATTTGGAAAAGGCATATGACAGGGTACCAAGAGAGGTTTTGTGGAAAGTGCTAAAGAAAAAAGAGTAAGGATTGCTTATATTTGTGTGATTAAGGACATGTACGAGGGGGCTACAACGAGCGTGAGAAGTCAAACTGGGATAACAGGGGAATTCCCCATCAGAGTAGGATTACACCAAGGGTCATCGTTAAGCCCATATCTTTTTACACTAGTATAGGACGTTCTTACGGAGCATATCCAAGAACCCGTACCATGGTGCATGCTTTTTGCCGATGACATCATCCTTATGAGCGAATCACGAGAGGATTTGAATGAGAAGTTGGATTCGTGGAGACAGGCTTTAGAGTTGCATGGCTTGTGTATAAGTCGCACTAAAATAGAGTATATGGAGTGCAAGTTTGGCAACAGAAGAAGAGACTGTATTACAATGACATCGAGGTGAAAGTTGGAAAAAATACTATGCCCCAAGTAAAGAGATTTAAATATCTTGGGTGTATCATTCAAGACAATGGAGAAATAGAAGATGATGTTAATCACAAGATTCAAAATGGCTGAGTGCTTCGGGCCTTATATGTGACAAAAAAGTATCTTTAAAACTAAAGAGAAAATTTTACCGTGTTGCTATAAGACCAGCTATATTGTATGGGACAAAGTGTTGGGCAGCAAAGGGTGAACATTAACACAAGGTTAGTGTGGCGGAAATGAAGATGCTTCGTTGGATGAGCGGTCATACGCGTATGGATAGAATAAGGAATGAAGATATGAGAGCTAAAGTTGGAGTGGCACCTATTGTAAAAATAGTGGAAACTCGTCTTAGGTGGTTTGGACATGTGGAGAGAAGACCAATAGAGCATCCCGTGAGAAGGGTTGATCAAATGGTGACTATGCATGTGGCTGGAGGAAGAGGTAGACCTAAGAGGACTTGGCAAGCATTGATCAAGGGAGACCTTTGCGTGAACAATCTCAGAGCAGATATGATACACGATAGGGCGCAATGGCGTCGTTTGATCCAAGTAGCCGACCCCACCTAGTGGGATAAGGCTTTGTTGTTGTTGTTGTTGTCAAAGTAATACATCACAAACATAACAAAGTCTAACATGGAATAAGACAAAATATTGCTCAAAGTGGTGAACTTAAATTGAAGAATTGAAAAAAGACACAACAATTAACAACACAAAAATATAAACAGATATTAAGTTAAAAAATACACTATCACACTAACATACTAACATAATACACTATCGCAATTCAAAATTAAAAAAATACACTGTCACAACAAATTACTTGTTAGTGCTAGTGCTTATTCCATGCTTGGTTCTAAAAAACACTTAAAAAACAAATTATATAAAAAATAAATCATTGTGGACAGCGGGACAACAAATCGCAGACCACCCCTATCCCAAACCACCCCAATCGCACGTCCCAACTCCCAATCTCAATTACAAATCAAAAAAAAATCAAAAAAGAAGAAAAACAGGAGATTACCTGATGAAGATGAGCTTGAAGTTGAAGAGTGACGAAGATGAAAAATCGACTCAAGGGTTTCGAGTTAGTCGATTGCATAATTCTGGTCATCCGGAAGGTATTTAGGAAGTAATTTATACTTTTAATTTTTTGTAATTGACAAATCTAACCTTAATTTTTAAAAAATTTAGGGTTAAAATTGTGCACGCCTCATCGCTAACTGCATTGCGCACGCCATGGGGCATACGCCATCTCCCAAATTGCGTATGAAACCTAGTTCACTAGTTGTGTGAGGCTAGATACGCAGTGTTGGTTTTTTTATGGAAAAAGTTACATTGCGCGGAATATGGCGGGTTTCCGCCTCGCCATTTTGAACATTGATTTGGCCTAAAAGACTATGGAATAGTTTTCAAAAATTGAGGAACACGAATGTTATATCTTAGAATTGAGGACTAAATATGTAAAACCACCTGTTGTAAGGGAGCATTTATGGAATTTACTCTTTTAAATATATAAGTTTTGTTTATTTATTCTACAAAAATCTTTATATAAATTGAATTGAAAATAACATTGGTCAAAAATTGTAATCCAAAACTAGATCATTATTATGGGACAGAGGGTTTATTAATTATGTTTGCATTAATGTTACTATATTTATCATTTATGACTAGTTGCCTAACTCTCACCTAAGGGATCAGCTACTCAACTAGGCGTCCTCGAGGTTTGGTGATGCCTCACCTTCTTTGTTATTAAAGGCGCTCGCCTCTCTCGCCTATGGCGAGCTCTCATCGCCTCAAAGAAGCCGGGCGAGGCGAGATCCCTAAGGCTCGCCTAAGTCGGTCGCCTCAATCGCTACCTCAGGCAATCGCCTAGCTCACCTTTCAGTACTTTACGCATATTTTGTTTTCTTTAGACGATTATGTAGTGTTTAAGGCTTTGGGCTATGCAATGCATAATATTTATTGCTATAGACACACACATATACATATGCATGTATGTATGTTCGCCTTTTAATCGCCTGCCTCTCGCCTCAAAAGAGGTTATCTCGCCAGTCCCTTGCCTCTCGCCTTTCATAACTATGCTCAACTTGGCACAATGGCACCATGATAACGATGGTGTGATGTGATAACGGCTAAATGTGGTTCACTTGAATACAGGATACAACATTTGACCATTTTTAATATGCAGTCAAACAAATTACACTTACTACCCATTTGGATGGAGAGAGAGTGCGAAGAAACAAAAAGGGAGAGAAAACACGAATTTCAACGCATTTTCCCTTGTTTGGTTGACAAAGGAAATAAAGAGGGAAAAAAGGGGGATTGACCATGCTAAAAATTCTCCATCAAGGAAGAGAAAACCGTATGAGTGAAGAGAAAACATTTGAAATTACTTCTTTACCTTGCAGATGTTTGAAAGTCCTTCACTCTCTTGTTTCAAAAAAGTCATTTTACATTATTACATTGTCATTCCTATTACCTTCTCTTCAACCAAAGCAAATGTCTCTTTTATTTTCTTCTCATTTTCTCTTCATTTTCTACTCATCTAAACAATAACCCCCTATTTGTTTGAAGGAAAAATGAAAGGAAAGAAAATTGAAGAAAAATGAAAGGAAAAGTAACATTTTCACTTGTTTGGTAGGATGGAAAATTAGGAAAGAAAAGTTTATATAGTACTCCCTCCGTCCAACAATAGTGTTCCAACAATGTTGTTTGACTGAAGTTATTTTCAAATCAATTTATATGAAAAATCGTATGGAATTAAAAAATAAAAATTACATATTTAAAAACTACAAGAAAAGATCTACAAAACTAGAGGTCACATGACTATATTATTTTATTAAATGGGCAACGAAAATACGCCAACAAAGTGAATAAAGTTTACCCCTGTGAATAGTGAACAAGAACTTACTGTTGGACGGAGGGAGTACAAAATGACGATCATGGCCCACTAAAATATTTTCCTCCACATAGTGGATGGAAATTAGGAAGAGAGCTCAACGTTTTGGCATTTCCTATTTTACCCTTGTTATTAGACAATTTTAAACTTTACACTTTGACAAAATTGTCATTTAACTTTAATTTTTTCTTTTCTTTAGTTCTCATTTTCCTTGCATCCAAACTTATCTATGGAACTAAAAATCCATCTTATTTCCTTCATTTCCCATCCTTCCTCTCCATTTTCTTCCTCTCAACCAAACAAAAACTAAGAGAGAAAATTTAGTTTTCTCTTTATTTTCTCTTCTCTCCATTTTCTCTCTTATTTTCTTTCCTCTGATTTTCTCTCCTCTTCCATGCAAAGCATTAATGAAACTTAAATGGAAGATAATTCAGCAAGAACACAAGGTAACTTTCCCCTGAATAAAAAAGACGGTTTATGAGCACCTTGAGCATGTAAAATCTCCAATTTTGAACTCTGTTGGTAGAAATGCAATAGGATCTTACTTGATTAAGAAGTAGCTTTGATACATTTTTGTTATTCTTGCATATTGTTGCTGACTGGCGCAGAAATCCTGAAGCTCTCACAGCCTGGACAGTTGTGCAAGCTCTCATGGACGTAGATGTCACAGTCTAGGCAGAAGAGTTTTTTGCATTTTGGACAAGCAACACATGGGCCAGGTACGTTGCCTACAGCAGAAAGAAACCAGTTTAATGAGAGAGACTATAGGTATGTTTGGGAGTTTCTTTTGAATGGGAGTGTAGGAGGGAGGAGTTATATTTTATTTTTAAATGAAGAGAAAATTGGAGAATAACCATAAATAACTAGGACACTTCAACTATACAATTTAATGTTTTTATACAGAGAATAATTTTGTTTTGAAAATTATCACGTTGAAACACTAATTTCTAAAGATGGAAAATTATCATGCTGAAACACTAATTTCTCAAAGAGGAAATTTAACTTGTGCCACTGTTTCCTTAGTTGAACTCCCAAACTCCCCCTAGACTTCAAACATTAGGCGCTAGACACCTCCGATTTGAAATAACCATGCACCTCCCGACAAAGATACCTCATTATTTATCTGAAGATGAAAAAGACTCATGCACCTCCCTAACCTCAATGTTACTAAAGTAAGCACAGTGTTTGGTGGCATTAAACTTTATTTCAACTTTACAAACAACAACAACAACAACCCAGTTAAATCCCACAAGAGTAGGGTCTGGGGAGGGTGTGTGTACGCAGACCTTACCCCTACTCGAAAGTAGAGAGGCTGTTTCCAAAGAGACCCACGGCTCAACGTCGAAAGTTGCATTGCTTGACTAACTGCTACTTCATTAATTAAAGAAGCGCAGACAGTTTAGAGATCTATTTTGATTTATTCCATCACACCCCAAAGCCAAAAAAATGGTGAAATTTTGGCTCCATCGGGGATGATGGAAATTCAACTTTACAAACAACAACAACAACAACAACAACCCAGTTAAATCCCACAAAAGTAGGGTCTGGGGAGGGTGTGTGTACGCAGACCTTGCCCCTACTCTCCCCTACTCGAAAGTAGAGAGGCTGTTTCCAAAGAGACCCCCGGCTCAACGTCGAAAGTTGCATTGCTTAACTAACTGCTACTTCATTAATTAAAGAAGCACAGACAGTTTAGAGATCCATTTTGATTTATTCCATCACATCCCAAAGCCAAAAATGGTGAAATTTTGGCTCCATCCGAGATGATGGAAATTTCAACTTTACAAACATTACACATTATTGACAACCCACAGCTAACCAATGTGGGTTTACTTTTTACAAAAATTAGCTTTGCCTTTTTACAAAAGCTTTTCCAAAAGTAGAAAGTGGAACCTTTTTGTGGGACGAACGAAAAAGAAAATGTGGAACCTTTTTGTAGGACGTGGGGAGTCCGAGTTGAGAGAAAAGAGATAATAGTAAAGATACTCCCCTTTTAACAACTATAAAATAAAAAAAGTCACATATCAGTAGACACAATTGAAATATAAAATGGGAAATTTACCTAAATAGAACTAAACTATAATGACTTTCTCAATATAGGACCATATGTTTTTATTTCCCAATGTAGGACCATTGGTCATTATCCATAAGTCATTATTCAAGTAAATGTCCACCATCACTGACATTATTTCTCCCACTAGACATTATTAAGTCCTATTTAGGGAATAAAAAAGTTTAAGTCCTACATTGAGAAATCACTTATGTTTTAGTCCTATTTAGTGCAAAATTTTCATATAAAATCTGGTGTTGGCTTACCAGGGTTTAGAAGACTTTGCTGGCAACCAAAACATTTTTTTTGCGCCATTTGCAAATTGTTTCGAATATATGGTGATACATTCTCAAATGGAGTGATTGGAAATAGGTGATGGTATGACCTTGCCAAATGTGGGGAAGAAACCAGGGTCAGGCCACAAATACAACATTCAGTTGGCAGTTCACAGACACGTGATTTGCATCTTGGACAAGTGTAGCCTCCGCCAACTTTAGTCTCCTTGTGGCAAGAACAGATGGAAATTGCACCTTCTGCAGCTCTTTGGGGAAACCCCATCTTGATCAAATTCGCAACTGCAAATTCTGCTATTGCCGGAGGAGGGGGAGCATGCTCCAGGACTAACTCTTTTATGTGAGCCTATTCATGTATTAAAATGTTAGATTACATTAGCAGAAAGTAGACAATTAAAGGTATGTTTGGATAGAGGGATTTTGTAGGGTTTCAAAGGGGAGGATTTGGAGAGTGTAATCTATGTCTTGGTAAATATAATGTTTCTGAAACAAATAAAGGGTGATTAAAATGTTATGCAATCACATACTACGTTAATCTTTCAATTTTTTAATAATTTAAAGTTATTCCATGGTATAGGCTACACACTCCAATCCCCTTGAAACCCATCCATCCAAACAGGCCACAAAAGAATCTGTTGATTATTCAGCTCTATTTCAACAAATGACAGTTTTAACGTATTGGCATTAGTTACAACTCAATATGTTGTTATGTGCATTTAGGAGAGCGAAAAAAACTAGAATAATGTGATCAGTTTAGTAAAACTCACCTCGTCCAATGCAACATAATACATGCCACCAGTTTCTTGGCAAAGATGCTTGCATATATAGACTTCTGCAGAGAGGCCAATGACAGAGCATCGTATCTTGGATTTCTTGCATTTCTGAATTGTTTCCATTATATCCCCAGGGTCGCAAGTGTTTAGAGCGGAATACAAAATGAGAACTTCACGATGACCATATGATGGGATTTGACTTAAAAGTTCATGCACACGTTCTAATCCATTCTGAAGGGAAGCATCACCTGAGCACTCCAACTTACCCATCAAAGCTTTAATGTGGGCCTCCGGGCTGCCTCCAAGATCTGTTAAACAATGAGCAACCCCATCTTTCAACATTATCAGGCCAATCTGACTCAGAGGATTCTGATCAAAAAACTCTCTAATAAAAGCCTCGACTTGTTTTGCAACTACAACCATTCGGCTTGGTTTAAAGTCCATTTCAGTAGCTGCCTACATGCCAAAATGTATGTCTAGCATAAATTCACTTGACAGAATTTGAGTAGATCAATCCAATAGCATATTTTGGAATGTGTTTATTTCATTTACATTTCTAGTTTTATTTGTTTACTTTTAAAAATAAAAATATGTGACGGGATGAAGGAATAGATAGATCAATAAATACCTCATAACAAGAAATGTGTAACTAGAATATCACTCATTGAATGAGAAAAGAATATCAGCGATAGAACTTTCATTTTTATCTCCAGATACTAGCCAATCAATCAAAATGGTATAACAGTGAGCTTTGATATGCTGAATTTCACATTTAGATCGGGAACTGATTGAATGCAATAGAAAACTGCCTAAGCAACTGTGTACCCAATGAAGAAGCTCCCACATGGGGGAGCGTGGCATATGCATTAGTTTAAACCATATTTTGCATGGATTCTTCAAAGAATTGCCATTTCCTGTCCCTGAACGTCCTTGTTTGGGTACTTTGGGAGCATCCCGACACCCAAATTTTATAAAAATTGGTGTTTCCACATTTCTGACTTTGTACCCGTACCTGTCTCCGTGCAACTTAGTTCAAGCCAAGATCTCCAGGATTCAATGGGAGACTCAACAACAGTGTAAAAAGCTTAAGAGGAGGAGAAAGGTAAAAAATGATTGCTGGCAATCAAATGAATCAAACATCATGCATTGCATAAATAAAATCTTCCAAAATTTGCATACCCGGGAGAAATCAATTACAATATAGAGATAGCGAATCAGGCCCTTTTGAATGCGAGCACTGGTTGCAGTGCGGAGGCGTCTCCGATATTGAGCATGGAAGATGGTTTTATTGTCAATGGGGCGCAGAAATCCTGATTCATCCTCTTGTAGAGACTCCCATGACCTCTCATCTGCATAGGTTCTCTCCCACGCTTGAAGACCTCTCGTGTCATCGTCCTCTTCTTCGTCTTCTACTTCATCTGTATTAAATCGTCGTTCAGCCCCATTCATTTTGCGTCTGCAGAGGAAACTAAACTACTCTGTACAGTGGCACATTTAGGAAAAAATGACGGGTCACCTTCAAATAAATAGGGAAAAGAGCAGTAGAGGATCCCGGGGAAGCACCCCAAAATTTTTTAACAGACAATGTGAAATGACAAAGACTATGTTTCAAAAATTTCTCCATTTTCCTAAAACACATTAATCGAACAAGCTATTTTGGCAATTTTTTAACAAAAAATTAAAAATATGTTTTACTTAGTACATCATAATTTATACAGTATCTTAGTTCAATTATCATATTTTAAATATTTCATTTTTATCAATTTTGTCTCGCACTAAACAATTTCGTTATACAGTCCACTTTAAAATCATTTTAGGCAAAAATAAACTACTTTTTTAAGACAAAAATGAAGTGCTAAAACAACTAAAAGCAATTAACTAAACAACCTCATTCCATACAAAATAGGGCAGAAAAATTAAAATATGCAAAATAAACCACACATAAACCTATTTCGTAGACCAATAAATTCTATTTATAACAAATCATTGAAAAACCTGAGCAGATGCTGAGAGGCCCAGAGCCGCTGATTGGAACAGTGGTACTGTCGCGCTGACTAGCTGAGTCCTGGACGGCGGCGGCCTGGAGGATACAAGGAGGAAGAAGCGGCGCCCAGGCAGTGCGGGAAGAAGCTGATACTGGCGCTATGGGCGGGAGGCAGTTCAGGCTGTGAGGGAGTGACCGAGGAGGCCCTGCGGTGCGGAAGTGAACGAAGCGAGAAGAAGAATTTATTTTTTACTGTAGTCTTCGTCCGAACTGTTCATCTAACTAATCAAATTGTAAGCCTAAATATAGTATCTGTTTGATTTGTATTAATATATAGATTATTAATATATAACTTCTATAATTTTTAAATATAGAAATTACAAGATAAAATGGATTAAAGAAGTGTATTGGATGGTATGTAAAAATGAAAGTGGACAAATACTCTGGGACGGAGATAGTAATTAATTAGGCCTTTTATTTTGAACGGAGTGGGCTTGAGATTTGGAATTGGACTGCAGGCACCATTTATCAACCCAACTTTTTAAATATTCGGCCTCTCTCACTCGGGGGCATCAAGTTAGGCGGCCTTCTCTCTAAACTCAACTTTTTAAGATTGAATTCCATTCTTTTATCAAAATACTAAAACCATGATTCTTCATCAGAACCAAAACAATACTCGGTGATACCATGATATTGATCTTTGGAAACTATACCCTATTGAATACGTGACTCGATCACAATAGTAAAACTACCCTGACTTAAACATTATGTTAAACCTCTCTTTGTGGACTACAAAACGATCAATACTATTACGCTATCTATGAAGATTATTATCGATGATATTGTTAGAATCCTAGCAAGGAAATGTATGTGTGACAGTCAGAGAAGACCAGACGTCACAAGGATCAAGCTGAATCATTCAAACAAACAAAAATCCCAAACCTATATGCAAGGTTGGTATAAGAGCTCGTAAGATTCCTTACTCTATGAATCCGTGAATTGAATCACATACTGAAAATATTCTCTTTTTCTCGAAAGGAGATCAGCTATAGTACTACAACCGAATCTGTCGCTATCATATCTAGATATGTTTTCAAATTAATGAAAGAAAATTTGAATACGACAAGACGTACGCGAGACGATACTCAAACGTTATCATGTATAAATAGGAATTGGTACATAGACTCATTAACGATAATGAGAACTACTACGAAGATGAGCGAAGAATTATTTTGACAAGAGATCGATAACAGCAAACTACTGTACAACCAATCGACAGTACTTCCTCGTAAATGATGACAAAATCCATATCTTGAAAGACTTGGACCACTAAAAGCCATTGGTGTACTTACGAATCATTGTTGAACTATGTGAACGAGATGAAGATGACTCAAGTAACTTGAAAAAGTTACGCTATAACGTATGAATTAAACAACCTCCAAATATTCCACTACATCTATCGCGAACTTGAAACTGCAAATGCTACCAAAGGACTAACGAAGTTATGTGCGAGTATGTCAAATATACAACCGTATACATTGCAAGGAAACTTTAGTTGTTGATACTGAAGGATCACTGAATGTCTTGCTTAATCAAAGATTGTTAATCACTTGAAGAAATTACGAGTTTCGTAACATCGACAGTTTGAGAATAACTATACATGTGGATAATGACGTGATTATGATTTAACTGAATGAACATGACGCGATTATGATTAAGTGCGATCACAACAAAATGTTGAACGTTGAGCCTTAGAAGAATTTCGAGGACGAAATTCCTTTAAGGGGGGGAGAAATGTAACGCCCCAAAACATACCCTAGAATTATTAATAAATAAATAATAAATTAATCAAATTCGTTTTGATTAAAATAAATTGTTGTTGGGCTTTGGACCGAAATAAAATATATATTTATATCCAATAAACATAATTGGAATAAATCACATAGAGATAAATCTAACATGTTGACTTATTATGTGATCTTGATTGGGAACCTGAGTATAGACCCAAATTAAGAATAAATGAAGAAATTGTTTATAATGTGAACTTTGAAATGATTTATTGAAATAAATCATGGAAATAAATAATATGAATTAAATGTGAGAACCTTTTTGAATAAAAGTCAATTAAACCAATTTTGACTCTGTCAAAATCAACCATCCAAAAATATGATGTCGGAAAAAGTATAACGAATAAATGTAAAAAGTATATCATTGGATAGAGTTTAATTGTACGATCGCAACGGTGCAAATGGATTTCAATTCGGAGAAAGTTGGACAAAAAAGTGTACCCCGACTGGGACAGAATTAGTCCCAATCGGAGAAGTAACGTGCAGAATCTCCTAGAAATCACATCTCCGCCGAATGAGAACATGAATTGGGAATCCTATGCAGTAGTAGCTCATCTTCCCTGTCTTCTTCTCTTCTTCCCTTCTATATAAAGAACCCAATTCTCCATTTCTTCACCATTCTCTCTATTTCTTCTTCCATTTTGTTCCTGAGAGTGTGGAGAGTAGAGTGGTGCTGTCCAGAGAGTTGGAGGTCGCCGGAGCTAGCCACAAATCTCGCCGGAAGTTTCGCCGAAATATCGTCAAAACCTCCATTACGCTTCGAGGTAAGCCCGTAGATATATCTAGTGATTAGAATGTTCGTATAGATCGTTTCTACGTTCATAAACAGTCATTTGGTTGAGTTTTGTGTTTGACATGCTTGAAGAACCAAGAATCATAAACCATTAAATTAATGTTAAAACTATGAATTAATGATGCCAAAATGATCTATGAACCTTGGAGAATATCTCTATATAGTTTCGTTGAAGTTCGGTAACTAAAAACGGTATTTTCGAAATTGGGCCCGAACGAAGAAGAAGATGAACAGTAACCAAAAACCAGGCTGTCTGGATCGATCCAAATGGATGGATCGATCACCTGGGCATAATTTCTCTACATATGGATCGATCCAGAGGGCTGGATCGATCCCCCAAAAATCTGATCCGAAAATTTATCTGAAAATGCTATTTTTGAGCTCTAAAATCCTAATTTTGATACCAATTGATTATGATCATTATAAAAATGCTTTACCACAATAAAAAAGATGTTTTTGACAAATAAAATGTTATGTGATGCATGACGGTAAGTTCGGGTGTTAACACTCAAAGCTAGGCCGCTATTTGCTATCGAATGTTATGTTGATTGATGCTTATGATGAATGATTATTATGATGATTATGGCTTGATGAAACCACTGATTAAAATGATTATCAAGGATTAAATTATGAATTGAAATGAATATGTTGATGATTATGAAATGATTTGGATTGTAAGAATATCTAGAAGAACTCTAAGATATACCTAGGTTGACTTTGGTTTCTAAGACTATCTAGAAGACATCTAAGATAGCTTAGAAATAGGCCTTGCGGGTATAATTATGAATATTCGGTGGCCTGGGTTAAAACGTACGTACGGGATCTACAAACCAAACTTGAGGCACTCGTTTGGGGATACCACCCAACCCGACAGTGAGCATTTCGGATCCACTGTTCGGTTTTTGGATGACCTTAATCGAAGGTAAGTTTAAGATTTTGAAAACCTCTTTTGAAAATTTATATCTTAAACTAGGACTAGCTTAAGGGTTAGATAAGAGTACCTTAAACTTGAATATAGTTTAACTATCTTAAACTAGAATTCGTTTAAGAGTTGGAAAATATCAAATCGATTGGGCTTAGACTAAGAATAGTTTAATTGTTGAATGACGAATGATGAATATTATATGATGAATATACATATTGTGTAACATCCCACCCTGGATGACCCGAGTCATCCATACCAGAGTGCTAGTAAAACCGGGTTACTTTGTAAAACATTTTTTTTCAAAAATATATTCTCTTTTTGATAACTAAGGGGAATTAAAAAAAATGTTTATCGCGTAAATTTAAAGTAAAACATCCACAGTTATTACAACCTTGGGTTCAAGCCCAAAAACAAAGTAAAATTAAGTTCGTCGTTTTATTCATTATTAAATATTAAATAAAAACTCCTTTGGCACGGCCTCCACGTCTAAGCTATCCTCCTCAGCAGTCGTTCCCCTTGCTAGTACCTGCGTGCAGTAAAAAAAAACTACACGCTCAGCAAAGCTGAGTGGCAAATAACCAATAGACATATATAACATGAAAATATATTTTAGGGCATTTTAAGTTATTTATGTTTTATGAGTTTTTTTTGCATCATTAAAATTATTAAGTAAATAATCTCACTTTGAAAAGTTACTTGGGGACATTTAGAAAATACTTGACTTACTAGGTTAACCACAGGTTAGAGACAAAGCTGTGACTATGCTGGAACACCGCACTAGTCGATACGTAGTTTTACTTCGGATACCTCCCCGTGACCTCGGGTCCAGTCATCAGAAGTGAACCCTAGACCCACGGGGTCATCGTTGGGTTCTCGTGCGCACGTTGTGGTATGATTATTTATAGGCTCATCCACATGGACACGGTCCGGCCTTGAAAGTGGTCAGCCCACTTAGTAAAACGTGACAATACCTGGTCAGGGTACGTCGTTCAAATCGATATTGAAATTCTTTTTTTTTTCTTCGTCCTAACTGTCTGATTAACCATAGCATATCATGATCTTTTGAATAAACTACTTTAATGTCTTAAAAGGATGAATCATTACCAATTCATTTCTTTAGGTCCCCATTTTTACAAGCAAAACCCATTGTTCGGTACTTGTACATAAATTTAGCATACAAGTTGTATTGATTTTCCAGGTATTTGTAAAAACATTTTTTTCCTGAATTCAAACATATAGGTAACAACCCATTCTTGTTAAACATTACAAACGTTTAATTTGCAGAAGTAAATATCAACTTTTTATTCATTTATAAATTCCAAAGCAATATACTGGTTTTTATTCATTTAACCCTTTTTTAGTAACAAAACATCCAGACTTTTAAACTACTCATCTATGTGTATGCGTACGTTTCAAAAGGAAAGAAAACACAAAAGAAAAACAAATGATTTACACACACAATAGAAATTACGAATTGTTTTCTTTAAACATTGGCATATGCATGCATGCATACTACATATATGTGTGCGTGTGTATTTATATATCATATAAAGAGAATATATTTTTTTACTACTGCAGAAAGTCTACTGTACTATAAACAAAATATGATTTTTTTTTCCTTAAAGAAAATTAGGTATGTACATATATGGCGTGGATATAGATGATACACAATTTGCATGTTATATCATTATTATTATTTTTTTTGAAATCCGAATCTCTATATATATATATACAAAAAAAAGC